GCCTTGGTATCAGGTAGTTCCTCGTGATATCCATTCTTTGATGCGGCTTCAACGGGGCACGCGTCACTTCTTCGAGCAGTTTGAGCAGGTGCTGTCGGTGGTTGAAGACCCCTTTCCCCTTGGAGGTGAAGGGAATGCCCAAATATGTTACAGTGTCTATCGGACCCAGAGGAGTGATTAGTTCCTCGGCAAAGCGAAATGGTTCGACTGAGACTGCTGTTGCCCGATGTTTCCTGTCCCCACAAATAACCATCACTTTAGTCTTTCGGGCGTTTATTTTCATGCCAGCTCTTCCCAGCTCGACCGCAGCAGCTTCAAGCTTCTCTTTAAGGCGTGCCTGAATTGCTGCACACACGACCCATTCCTGGCGCCTGTAAAGATATTGATGACAAGCAAACTTTCATAGGATTTATGCCAGAAAACCGACGGCTTTTGCGTACTAACTGTATGCGTTCAGATGCGTTTGCAAATGCATTGGCAACCTCCACATATATTCAAAAGTAGGCCAAGAGACTTCAGGTTCTTCAGAGTCCATAACCCGCTATGTCCCCAAGAACGATGCGCCTTTTTCGAAATTCTCGTTTTATGTCAATATTATTGCTGTTCGCCTCCAAACCATTAGGAACGCGTTAAGAAGGAGACACTGCAATACCTGGACTATGTGCACCAGGCCAAAATATCGGAAAAACTGTTTGAAAACAAGGTGGAACAAGCCGCACAACACGCACTCAAACGAGAAGCACAACGCGTGGCTGCGAGGAAAGCCCAGGAAGAGGCATCCCGAAGGCGGCTGGCATGGGAGACGGCCTACGTATGCCAGCAACAGACCCAGTTCAAAGGTAAATTGGTGTAGTAGAGCTCACAGACAGAGTAACTTTGTCCGCATTGTCTCAGATGTTTTGTTTAAGATATATGGAATCACTGTAGGAAGCGCACCCGGTTTTTTTTTATAGTCTTGATATAAACAGCGACTGTCGGACATTAACCCTCATCTGTACACGATAGTGATGAATGTACCATTGTACTTTGCGATGGGAACGTTGTTTTTGTTCCATTCTGGAAGTTGGCTTCTTCGGAAGTGAGTCGAAGTGTAGTTCATAGCCGAGATGGTTTGCATAGAAAGCTTCAGATATATTGCTCATTTGACACTTCAAGGAAACCTTAGGTGTTCATTGATTCTGTTTGTCTTTTGAAATAAGAGCGACGCAAAGCATACTGCGACTTTGTGCAAGTTTCGTTTGTTGCTCCAAAGTAAACTGCTAGAAATGCTCAATAGCCTGAACGACGGCTTTTTAACATTATTTCTGGCCTGTTTTGCTATCGTACGCTCTTGCATCAGAATCAAAGTTTCCGATAGTATACGGCAACATCATAGTACTAGCAAAGTTGTAAGGCATAGAAACTACAAGTAACGGGGGAGCACAATATCCACTGGTCGTCAGATGAAAATCAGCTTACTTACAATATTCGGGCATTTCTAGGGATCATTTGTCTATATTCGATGAAACAACACTTCCTCCCCTATCCAAGCATACTTTTGTCACTTTTGGGCCGAAATAGACTTCAGCTGAAATCTTTACCGACTTGAACGATCAGTTACTTGTATTCTATCCCTGTATACTTGGTCATCAAAGTCCTCGTAGTATGGGAGACAGACGACCCTAATGTGTCGCTCTGCAGTAGTGAATAAGTGAGCAGCCGGAAGCCCATGGAAAATAAGACTTATCGGTTTGAGACGTTTATGACATCCATTGTCGTAGTTGGTAAGTTTCACCGTGGGAACGCGAGATGAACGGGGCGAATGTTAAACAGTGCGCTGCTGAATCTATGCGCTACCCTGGCAGACAACGTGATTTTCAATGATCATAAAGTCCAGGTACCCTGAGAAACTGCCGGACTCTGAAGTGTTGAGGACCAGCCAAAATCATCGGATAAAGTCTGTTTCGGGGAATATCCATCTTTTGAGTTCGACTGCTACTAGAAAGTAGTAAACACAACCCTCTAAGATGATGGGATCTCTGCTAAACCTATGCATTGTGTCCCGAGCAAACGTCCAACCTTGCTGGAAGGCCGGACGCGTACTCCTGGTTGAAAGTATTGCCGAACATCAGGCAAAAAAGAGTATCCGCAAGGATCGAGAAGTCTGAACATGTGAAGAAATAGAAAAACCCTGGGATCTTGCGATAAACATTCCAGCTGATACGCGCAACAGACCAACAATTTCTCTGATAAACGAAATACTCACTGACAAATTGATCCAATCTTCTCTAAAATAGAATAACGGCTGAATGGTCAGGCTAAAGAATTTACTCTGCGTCTCAAAAGAGCGTTTGAGAACGCGCTTGTGTCGCCTCTATTTCTGTGCTTGTTTGGTACACTGAAAGATGTGACTGCTCATCGAAAGCAATGGTATTCCTGCTATCTATTTCTTTCCAACTTATCTACTGACCTACTTGTGGTGAGGGTTTCTCGGATGTTTAAAACGGACTAGCTTCAGGTCCTCTTCGCTGTCTCGTTTTCTTTCTTTCGACGAAAAGGCCTTATTCAAACAAATTGATGTAATCGTACGGTGGTGAGTGACTAGTGTTCTCCTCTGTTCTTGCTTCTAATGATGCTGATGATGGCTTGTGCAACATTGCCTTTGTGGAAACTGAGGATGCAGGGAAAATATTACTTGAAGTCTGCCTGAGGAACCAGTAAATTGGAAATGTTTAATTAGGCAGTACCAGTCAAGCCATATTTGCAAAATGTCGATCCTTCCCTCAATCAGCGATAGAGTAGCTACTCAACGGTCGATTGGCACAGCTTAGATCAGGTTGCTTGGCTCCCCTCTTTTGAACGTTCCACACTTGTTGACTACTCGTTACAAAATGCTTTCACAAGAATTGGTCTTACGCTGGTTTAAAAGCCATCCTATTCAAAATTTGGATACACTTCAATCATCAGTTTGTTGTGTGTAACAGGCAAAATACCGTAAATTTCTTCATGCACACACAAATTGCAACGTGCTGTGATTATTTGTTAATTCACTGGTGAACCTCACTCCGCCTAGACGACCGTGAGGGTGAAAATAACCTCGCGGGTTTTGTGCCCGAATTATGCCTTAGAGCGACAAGGGTAGAGAATTAGCGCAACCGATGTGCGAGCCTATCCATTCAGATTATAGCACTATGAACCAAACAATTAGTACAAGATCAGTACAGACGGTACCTCCCAGCAACGCACTTTCGCAATGAGGTCAACCACGTCTACAAAAAGAGGCCTTCACAAGCAAAGAAGGCCTTCTCATAACACCAAAGAAGGGCTTTTATTGAGCTCTAAATAACGAACAAAGGCATTTTCTTCAACCCTTGACATGTCCTGTGCAAAGCACAGCTGCACTGTTTATAGAGGATGATCATTGTGAATGAAAAATGAATTATAACCCCCCACTGAAGACCTTCCAAAATCAACGCAATTATTACTGTAGGTCAAGAGGCCCTTAAATGTAAACGTTAAAAACGAACTCAGTTGTTTATTTGGCTCAATAAAGGATGGTTATATTTCAAGGACCAGCCAGAGGGAATGGATCATGCAGTTGTCAAACGTTTCAAGAGATTTTGTGTGCAAATGACCCCCAAGGATTAGTCCACGTGACCCATGGACTGAAGACGTTGCAACATATGGCTGATAAGTGACTACGAACCGGTTGCTCTTAGAGTCATTTCCTATCCAGACAGCATAAGTGAGTGTCTGGAGCGAGTGTCTGTCTCGGAATGATTGCGATAGGCTAGCACTAATTCCCTTCCATGATCACTTTCATCCTTTCCCTCACAGTTAAGCTTTCAAATAAATCATGGTATGTAGAGCAGCGGAGCATCGGTACTGAAGACTGATGTCACGCTGTCGATGATAATGATGATGATCACAACACGCCATGAGGTGCCCCATCGTTCAGTTCAGTGAGGATAGAAGCAATAGCTTATTCTAAACGACAGGGTCGTTTCAGCTGAATTCTTTTAAAAAAATGACGAATTAATTGAGCGACAACCTACCACCAAAATGCAAATAGATATATGTTCTATCGAATTTGTTGTAAAACATTTTCCGGAGATGATGAACAACGTCCGTCTCAGACATCTATGACGATGCAAAGTTCGTTACATGTTATATCGATTTTCAATCTGCAAGAGAGGATCGATTGCTGTTTTTGTGTAAATGTTCAACTTTCTCAACATTACCAAGGTCTCTCTCAAATGCACTCACGCAGATATGCTGGTCATGTGACCAGAAATCCTCCGACAGAATTTGTCGATCTTAGCACACGGGACCGAAACGCGGACTCGCCGTTGTATACCAATATTCCATGGTGCTGCTTAGAGAGGAACGAGAGGTGATGGGGGTGTAGTCTGAGACCAAACTGGTTTTCAGAACCGAATAATCTGGGGAACGTTCTTTCCGTCTTCGCATGAGGTAGGCTTTTCCCTGATTCATTGAAGTTCAAAATGAGGTGACGTTTATGAAAATCGGAAGTTATTTTCACTACAGCAAGGAATACTCCAAAGAGCCTCACAAATCTGAGTCTTCATGTAAGCTTTCCTTAGCTTTGCTAACCAAAAGTGAAAACGGATAGGAAAAACCAGAGTACTTCAAAAGGATTGCGCGACCCAGGGCTGTCATGTAAGCGAATGTGCGTTGACAATGCGTGGAAGGCTGGAAATATTTCGATGAATCTCTCATCTCTTAGCGAAGACAGTCTACGCGTAAACTCCTATGGGAAGGAAGGATGATTTACACGGTGACAGGATCGTCGTCACTGGAGGTGCCAGTCAACCTGTGAGTGTGCGGCAAATTCTGTGGCTAAAGGATGATTTGTGGTCTATGTGCTAGACAGTCACACTCCCACTCGTGGCCGAACGGTTTGGTCTTCAACCGCCGGTTGGGAGTTTGCGCGTTTGCGTCCTATTGGAATTTGTGTGCACCGCTTGGGCTTTCCAACAAGGGTGGAATTGCTATACAGCGTGGCTAGGCTTTTCGGTACATGTTGATTTCGCTTACATGACGAAAGCTCAATTCAAAAGTAATTTCCAAGTCCCAAAGTAAGATGGTGATATTCACCCGCTCGGGTCTAGAGAACAACTTTTCAATGCTAAGCATTTTGAAGGAATATAAAGTCAAGTTATTACTGAGAGCTTTTTGAGCCTATCGACTGTGTCGTATCGCTGACGCTACAAGGACTGCGGAGGCGTTCGATGGGTGCAAGACGTTCGAATACCTCGAATGAAACGCGCGACAGTTGTAGTAAACTTGTGGTGTTTTTTTACATTTACAAAAAGGCCACAGCCGGGCAGAATATTTGCGATGGCGTATGAAAGTTTGAACTCTCACAGACTTGCGATGAAAGTAACTCAATTTAGTAGGAAACTATTTAATCGGCCTTGTATTCAACGGTAAACACCAGGTGGGACAAGAATAAAGGTTAGGGATTTGGAATGTTTTGAAGCAGGAAATGTATTCACTTTAATCAAAGACAAAAGTTAGACTTTGAAAACCAAGCAAGCCCAACGTAGAGAAACATGCAAAGTTCGATCACTCACTCCAGGGAATGTGACCTTCTCAGTTAGATTTCCCATAATCCTTTGGTCCCTGGCGGGCTAGGGGACAACACCATGAACAGGCCTTTTGATAGCCCCGACTATGATTTGCTAAGGATGATTTCTCTTTTGCCGAAAGTCCCGTATTGAGAGTTTTCACAGTTACGTCATCGGCGGAGAGACGATACACTTGTTAGAAACTCTGTAGTGGGATCGCAAGATTGCATTTACAATTTCTTCAGAAAGTTGGCTATTCTGAAGGTGTACATACCTGAGTCTCACTGTTCTGTGCACTAAAACCTGAACAAGAAGGCAGTAATTTTTCTAAGTTCCACAGCTTTCCAGCATACGTGATCTTGGTGGTCATTTAAACCCATGTATGTTCTTTCCTTCGATATCTTAAGTTTCTGTCTACAGTCGGGCAGTTTAGCTTTTAGGTCGCACAAACTTCATGTCTAGTCAATCAAATACCCTCCACCCAAAGACACACTCCAGCCGTTTGACTACTAGTACTTACATGTAAGTGGGTCACGCCTCTCTAGTGAAAGTTGAACATATATTGAAGCATTTGTATCACATCACTGAAGGTCACTTGTGACCTAATCATGTCAGGAATTATGCTGTTTTACATCTGAGGCGAGATGACTCGAGTAGTTAGAGCGCGAATCTACTGACCAGAAAGTTCGTAGTTCGAACCCAGCCTATGCCTACCGACTTCCTCTGTCTAAGCTTGGGCAACCTGTCAGTATCCTAGCCATCATGCTTCCTTCGTGTGGCATGACAGTTAGGCACCGAATTGGTGCTACAGCTGAATCTTGGGGTTTGAAACATAGCAAATCAGGTTGGCCATACGTTACAACTCACATCAGCAAGGAATTTAACATGGTGTTGTCTAGTTGACCTTCACTGAAGGTCGTCATGTAGCAAGACAACTGACAGATATGGTAAAAGCAACAGGTGTCCATCCGCATTGCTGTTGCTGTGCTCAAACAGCGGTCTCAGCTGCTCTTCATCAAAGCTGAATTCAGTTCAAACGTGAGTGTTCTAATCTACCAAAAGTCATGCTACCTTTCCAATGTCTTTTGCTGCAACCTTATCTTTCGTAGACACCCATTAGCTGGAGCATTCACAGACATTGACCTAGTACTATATATGAGAAGTAACTGGGAATAGAAGTCCATTACCATCGACAGATCTAGCCAGCACGTCAACGCTTGCACGCACCAATTAGAGAATTCGGCTTTATACCTCGTATTTTGGCACTTGGACGCAGTTGGGTGAAACAACAATAACGTCGAACAGATGCCGGTTGGCCGATTTCTTAAGTCATCTGATCCGTGTCAACGTTAAAAAATGGTTGGCTTCAACTGTTCTTATGCACATGGTCTGGGGCCGTTTTGGTTGATCAAAAGTGATCTGCTTATTGTCAAAACCTTAGGGTTTGTGCTGTGTTACGCAGTGAAATTCGGAAGAAGTTGGTTGGCTCATTCCGATGGTTAGTATCTGACAGATACTTGGCTATTGACGATGTACGACTGCGAAATGACCTTTGACCCATCTTCTTTCCTAAAAGCATATTTGGTATTTGTCCTGCTGCACGTTCACAGGGTATCTGTTTGTCCTGCGTCTACGCAGCCGCAACAAGACTTGTAGACTACATAGGAAGCATACAGGTTGGGCAGTCGTATAAATAGCTAACGTCGCTGGGCTGGAGTATAAACACGTTTTAGAGTGGAACGGAGTTTTTGTCTTACGCTGGTTTTAACGTGATCACCCTTAGTCTAAAGAAACACATAATTATCTTCTTCTCTGGCTGGTTATGTTAAATCTCTATTGTTCATTGCAATGAGACCCTCTGGATAACCGTTATACAGCAGGGATTTCTTGAGCGACTCCGTCTCTTGCAACAACTGATTCAGGCTGCCCCTGTATCCACATACTAGTGAATAGTGACAAAGTCTGTTCGTGCATCTTTCAAATAGCCTGTGTTGGGTTTCTACAAACGAATAGGGTAAAACTGCAGACTATCTGGTGTAACCGAGCCTCCAAAACCCTCAGTAGAATGATCATCAGAAAGGGGCTGCTAACTGTAATGTGGTGTGTCCGGGCAGATTTCATGGTTCTTCTATTCAGTTGTTATGTCACGTACTATTCCGAGTGGTTACGTTGTCACTGAAACTCTGAACGTAGCGAAATTCGGACATGTGTGTTGTACTTTTACACATTCTCATCATTGATTGAATTGGTAAGATTGAACACATGTATCAGTATTTTTCGTACCTTATCAACTTTACAGAACAACAGCGCCAATTGGAAAAACTAATGAAGAAGCATGAAGCAGAGGAGCTGAAAACGCTGAACGATGCGGTTCAAAAAGAACTTAGTGAGCAAATCACCCGGAAACGAAACCGCATCGAAGCCTATAAGAAAGAGCTGGAACAGCAGATTGCCGGGCATGAGATACGAAAAGCAATGGAACTGGCTGAAGCGGAGCGTCAGATCGAAGCCCAAAATCGTGCGGAACAGGTACTGCAGGAACGAATTGACCAAGCAATTCACTCAAGAATATTAGATCCCCACAGACACCCTTGGCGTAAAATGTGCTGCCAGGATGATGCAACAAGAGAAACCCCTGATCAGACTTTATGTGGATGTGTCTTTTCCTAGAGTTAGACAACTCTGGTGCAGTATATTTTTGCCCATTCATAATAAACTCGTTCTAGTCTCGATTGCACGGCCGATCTCTGTGCAACACTCATATTTCTGATATGTTATCAACTAGGTGTTGCAGGATCCGTTATAGGTTGCGCCTTCAACATCTTCTGTTCCAACCCAACATCCAGCCGTTTTTCATCAAATTGTCAGGCCTTTTCAAGCAGCTGTTTTACGAACATCTGTTGAAACCAAATTATAACCAACTGGGATTGAACCAGGATTGTTTTTTTGATGAGTTGGGTCACTGTTGGAAGAAGAATCATCACTCCAGGGTTAAAGGTTTTTGGTCAGGCGGTCCAAATGGACACGAATTTGTCAAGCATTGGTGGAAGTCTGCGTTTTACGATGGAATCAGCTGGGTGCAACAAGGATCCACAAGACTCAAGTGTTCAAGCTAGTAGCCGGGAGGTCACGGATCTGAGATTCTCCACTGGGGTTTTGTGAAGTGTGTAACGCTGATGAATCCCAATGAGGATGGATTAGCCGCACAGTACTTGTCGGCTTTTCAGCACGGACTGATTTCACCTACACAACCATTCCAATTGCCAACTTTCTTCACATTACTAACAGCCCATGAGTAGCTTAGATGAGGAATAAAATTCACCCAATGAATGAACCTCCGACAAGTCCTACACAACCATTCCAATTGCCAACTTTCTTCACATTACTAACAGCCCATGAGTAGCTTAGATGAGGAATAAAATTCACCCAATGAATGAACCTCCTGTCCGACAAGTCGTCCCTCAATGATCCAGTCAAAACGTGTGAACTCGTGATGTAGGTCTTGAGAATGCGTGGCGATAGATGCTGTATCCTGTCTAAGCGCGAGCTATTCACACAGCCGATCAGCCACATGTCGCCGAATGATCAGATGTTCAACAGATTGCAGGTCACATGTTTGAAGCATCTTAAAGATCAGTGGAACCCGCGCTGCTGATGTTCACCAGCGAGAAATAAAGAGCTGTACAATATCTATTGGCCATTCGACATAGATTTACTTCACTTAGAGGACAGAAACTCGATTGATGCGAAAGTCAGAATAAACAGGTCGAGGCAAACGAAGAACGCCAGCTGGTGAATTGGAACTTTATTCTCGCATACAGCTAAACAGCATACATAGAATCCATAGAATCAACTGCGTTTCTTTCATTATCCTTGCATCTGGTTAATGTAGGCTTGCTATAACCTATTGGTAAGAAAGGTTATCTTTGTGTACAAAGGTTATGGTGATCCTTCTGACCATTGTACTTGGATACTTTCTTTGTAACTTATCATTACTCAAATTGTACCACTTTCTATCTCTCACTAAAATCTCAGCTTATTCCTCTTCTCTTCATACCGAATAACTTTTGTTTAAAATGACCGAAAAAGAAATATGGATACAGCGCAAATTCTGTTCCTCGTGAAAGGCGTGTTCCCTTCTTGCTGCGTCGAATTACGCTGGCAGTGAATTAACGAGCGGTGATCTACCTTCCAGACTACGACGGGATAGAAAGGTCTAGGAATATATCAAGGAAGATTCCAGGAAGGAGATCGATTTGGATTTATTGTGGTGGTAATAACTAACTGTACCAACAAACTGTGAGTTGTATCATCTCGCCTATTTTTTTCACTTGATTTCACTACTTTGAACTGGTATTTGCTCACGTTATCCACTAAAAAGGTGTTCGGAATCGCTCGCTTTTAGACCATCCATGTCGCCAAAATGTTGGCGAGATCTGATTTGAACATCGAATCAAGGAGGATGAACTATACCATGTAATTTCTTGATGGGTGAATTATTCACTTTTTGGTAGTTGCTTTTGAGAATTAAGTTTCGTACGCATATCGGTATAACCAGACGAACTAGAAATCCAGAATTCAGCGCAGCGTAACAACCATCACGTATGTATTTGAATTGGCGAATATGTACAGCATATGAAATATTAAAACAAGAGAAGAATGAATAGAACAATGAATAGGGTATCAGTCATGTTCATCACATTGCGTATCACAGAGTTGTCTACGTCTCAGAGCTCTTTTTCTCCCAGCGCTGACCTGATTAGAAGCGACAGAGCTGTGGACATTCTACGACTTGGCGACGAAGTACAGAAACACTAGACAGGAAACTCACTCGGGCCGAGAAATACAGCCTCCCTAGTTGGGCACCCCGGGACCCAACTCACCCGTTGTTAATGACAGTGGCAGCACATATGGCTGAATCGTGTATTCAGTGACGCTCATGCACCAGAGCTATCGCCTTCGATGCGTACTTGTCCAGTTTCCGAACTCAGCGGTGGTGTCATCACCTCTATTGTTCGGATGTATGTTCCACACTGACCCACTTTCCGGTGGACGAAGCTATAGTAGGTGGAACTAACGCTGTCTTAGGCATGCATACGGACTGAAATGAACCGGAAAGTAATGAGGAAGATGCTTTAGGATACAACTGACGATGCTTTTTGATTCATATTTTGACCTTCAGTTGTGCAAACAGAATGCTCGTTATAGGAGTAAACATATCTATCGGAAATTCTCATATGCGGATTGATTTTAATGGGTTTCGCATGAAAGACAACCATTCTGTCTCAATTCTTAATCTGGCAATTCAGGCTTCGAAACGTGGAGAGAGAAAAGTCATTTTGTGCTTGTTCCAGGGAAAAGTGGATGAATCTGAGTCTACTTGCTTTCAAATGTGACATCCGAATCAAGTCCAGATAAGAAAACTGAACGGGTCGGCCTGTTATACACTCGAAAACAAGAAAGAAGGATAAATATTTCAGCCATTTCTCTCAGTTTACAATAGACTTGGAGCAATGCGGACAATGGGAAGTTTTCTGTACCACCCAGCGGGTCGGCCACAACTAGGCAGATGTACGTTTTTCGTATATGTTCGGTTTGAACCCCCTTACTTTGTTTGGCGGATAGAAAAACTACTCATAAGAATTACTGAAAGCTGTTCTAAACCACACTAGCAGTTTCACACTTCTTAGGACTCATCACATCTTACCCCAGTTTTCGAATTAACTATGATTCCCATTGAAGCAAAAGCAGGACTTGGCGCAACAGTCAGTTGAATTCTATCAGGTACATGAAACTTGGTTAAGTTTTTCGTTATTCTGTATTTATTGGGTTTCTCGAGTGATTATTTTTAGACCGGGAAGGCTACTTTGACTGTAACTTTTTGGAATATAATTCGGTGCATTAGGGAAGCTGGTTATAAACCGTGCTTCATGATAAAGTGGGTAGAGCGCGAACTGACTGACCGGAAGGCCCGTGGTTCGAATCCAACCTCTGCCTCTCGACATCCCTTTGCTAGGCTTGGGAAATCTGGCAGTATCTCAGCCCTCGTGCTTCCTTCGAGTAGCATGGCAGCTAGGCACAGTAAGGGTGTTACGGCTGTGCGATTTATTTTTTTTACAACCAAAGTTAAGTATTCACTAACAATTGAGGATTGATTAGAATGGTCCGCGATGTTACACCTGATAGAGTAAACTCTTGTTGAGTACCCGAGGAATCAGAACATTTAAGTGCCAGCTAGGAGGAGTTAGGTATTGTCAGCGGCAGTTTCGATAACTGAAATTTACGGACGGTGTGTGTCACAAATATTGTTTTTCCAACCACCAGAGCATCGGTTGTTCACTATGTTGCTGTTGGTCGACACAATAACAATCAATAGTGAAAGCTGATTATACTGTTGATAAGCCACTCTCAACCACTGACCGGACGATCGTGGGTTCAGAACCTTCTGAATCCTATTTGACAGTGCAGGTTGGCAGTACAAAGTCTCCACTGAAAATTGCCAAAGCTTCTCACATCACCATCAAACTACTAGCGTGTATGTCCATGACAAGCTGACCCGAGATCACCGTAGGTTCGATAGAACCTAACTGACAGTGGCTAAGTTGATTGGATGCATAGTCTCCGGAGCTCCCACCGATCTCGTAATTGTTACCATATAGAATATAACCTTGGGATGAAGTAAAACAAATGCCGGAAAAGAGTAAAACTGAACTGGCATCTGGCAGCCCACAAGACAAAATGCGATGACAATCAGCGAAGCGTACACATTGATACTGTACGCTTTGTGTGTACGCCAATAAATAGGTAGTCAACGCTCATTCGTTCATGTTTTCTGCGTCCATTTTTGCCGCGTCGTTTTTCATCCTGTCACCGAGCTGTCGCTACGGTCACATCAGACTTCCAAACTCAATTCCATCCAACGCATCTACTGTTCGTGTACACTACGTTGGGTCTGTTGAATCACCATCTGGGTGGATACGAATCGCTTGGAAAGTCAAAATACAATCCACACTCAATGCAGAGTTCCCATTCGTATGCTTCATCACTTTCCAAAACTTCGCTCAGCAACAATCTCCAACGACCGAGTCCCTGTGGACGTGATTCCAAGGAACTTAAGAGTGTTTTACGTTTACTTTCTTGATCTGCTTAGTGGTACAAAACCTGAATCGGTCGCCGGGCAAAGCGGTGGTCATGTCGTATCTTTCCCCATTAACAGAAATAGGGTTTAGCCCAAACTCTTTTTAAGTGACCTTGGCTGTCGTGAATACGTTTGTCTGGTGTACATCTTGCTGGCGCGCTCTCATACCAAGAAATTAAACCGATTTATAGCATGACAAGTCCAGTGCGTCACATTGACGTATTTATTTGATTACCCACTGTTTAGCTGTTGATTGGGCACAGTTGTATCAGGAACAGGAAAGATTTTATTAACACAGTTCACCTCCACGGTCCTCAGCCAGCCGATGACAGTAAATCGTATGGAATCGATTCATGAAACACAAGGTTAGTTTGGCGCGATTATCACTGTTCTCAGGGGTTTGAAGTTCACAACTTGAGAGGAGAATTACCAAGTGTTTCGTCCAACATGATAAGTTATCTGCTGATACCAACTGGATGCTGCGTTGCAACGGGTACTTCTAGATTGGCTTATTGGGCGCAATGCTACACCTTAGGATGCATATTTCACACAACTGGGAGTAAAAGCCATCTAACCTCTAACTTGCTCCATTTGTTGACGATCACGTTCCAAGACGGATGTTCAACGTAGAAAAAACACCCCGATTGGCGTCACTGTGAAGTCCCCATAGGAATTTTATCTCAAACGCTGGCCTTGTTCATAGTTGCCAGTTTCTTGTCCGATTACTGAAGTGCGCAACCACACCCTGCCTTATCTTATTTCTATATCCTTGTCAGTTTGCAAGCTGTGTCGCTTTGTTATCTTGCGCAGCCTATGCAGTTCCGTCTACTAATCGCCTGATTTTACCATCAAATTTGTGGTCTTTACCGTTTCGGCTACGCATTAATTCAAGTCTTGTCGC